TTTTTTTTTTTGGGTGTCACATACATGTAAGTGCTTGGTATGATATGTGTTTTTTCCCCATGTAGACTATAGTTTTTGAAAGGAGTCATTTGAGATTATTCAATCTCTGTTCTATTCTTTTCAAATGGTGAGTAAGGAGTTGCACTTTGCTCATCTTAGATTATCTATCTGTTCTTGGCAGGGGAAAATCAAACAATTGAGTGGTCCATGCGTTTAAGAGTGTCTCTTTATATTGCTGAAGCCTTGGATTATTTTAGTACTGAGGGTCGTCGATTATACCATGATTTGAATGCGTATAGGGTTCTCTTTGATGAGGTATTGTTTCTCAAATTTAGTATTTATTCTGAAGTTTTTCTTTTGCACGTATTGTGTTTCATTTTGTTTGATATTTAATTAAACGTGTAGGATGGTGATCCGCGCCTTTCATGTTTTGGCTTGATGAAGAATAGTAGGGACGGGAAAAGTTACAGCACCAATCTTGCCTATACACCTCCTGAGTATTTAAAAAATGGTAATAACTTCTCTAATCTGATTATCACCTCTTCGTTTGGTTACCTTTCCTGTTCATTTCTAGTTTTCCAAATCGAATGTATCCCTATTCCGTTCATATGTTTTAAAATTATGAGAAAATGTACAAAATCCACAAATTAAAGTTCCTTTTATGTATGACATATGGTAGAAATTGTCCAAGTGTTGTATTATTATATTTCAACTTGTGTTTCATGGTAGTTTTCTTCTATTTGTTTGACTTCTTAGTTGTTGCCATTATCATTATTTTGGTATTTTAGGAAGAGTCACCCCAGAAAGTGTTATCTACAGTTTTGGAACTGTCCTTCTGGATCTGTTAAGTGGCAAGCATATCCCTCCAAGTCATGTAAGTGGCTTATATTGTACTGTACGTTATTCATATATGTATTTAGCTGCCTTTGTTATCTACTGATGCCATTGTGCTGTCTGAGTGTCCAACTAGAAGTTGTTTGTTACTCGAACTTTTAACTACAAGGGTTGAGTTTCCATGATTTTTTTCCTTGAGTAAAGTTTTCTATAATTATGTTGCAGTTATAATACACCCTCCAACGTTTTGTCTTTACATGCTTGGATGTGGAAATTCATCTTCAACTTTTTATAAGTTCAGTACAAGATAATCCCATGGCAATATAGCTAGTTGTTCAATGCTAGCTATTGTATAGTTCACAGATGCTATGGCAATAATTTGATATCAGTTTTTGTTTGTAGGCTCTTGACATGATACGCGAAAAGAATATTGTTCTTTTAATGGACTCACATCTGGAAGGAAAGTTTTCTACAGAAGAGGCAACAGTAGTTGTCAATCTTGCTTCTAAATGTCTGCAATATGAACCTAGGGAGCGGCCTAGTACGAAGGAGCTCGTTTCAACACTTTCTCCTCTGCACACTAAACCCGATGTAAGCAACTTTTCTCTTATTGCAATATCAGATATGTTGTTCCATTCTTCTGAGCTACATCATCTTTGTTTGTTGAGTGCTTCATCGTATTACAACAACTCCAGAAACTACATTTACCAGACACGCGAAAAAAAAAAA